TAGATTCTCAAAGATTTACTTAATAATATTCACGTCTGAAATATTTTAATATATTTGTAAACAAAACTGTATCACATCTTCGTAGCATCGTCTCACCATCGTTGATCTACGGCTTGGCTTGCGCATTTGCGCTGCGAAAGAAAAATCAGGTGTTCCGGGTGGATATGGACCCCCTGGGTGTCCAGATCTATGGGGGTCCAAATCAACTGGGACACCAGATGTCCGAAATTTTAAAAAATTCAAAAACAAATTTCTTTTTCCTCTATTTTGAACTCTCCTTCCCATTGTGAAATTGGCATTTTGAACACTTCATAATATTATCTAATTCTTTCCTTTAATGATGAATTCAACAGTGACATCAAATAAAAGCTTTCTGCATATGTATGACTCTCCTTTTCTATACAACAACTTCATCCTGTTGTTGCAGTAGCACAGTTACTTGATAGCTAATTTAATATAAATATATATGTGATTGTTGTAGCTCTCGGATATAAAAACAAAATATAAATGTAATCTTACCTGTGATTCTTTTATATATAGTAATCTTACCTGTGATTCTTTAATACTAGATTTTGTTTTAATAATTTATATGTTATAAGTTCTTTGAATGTTTGCATGGCGATAAAATATAATTGTTTTTGTTTGTGGAAACACCACGTAAATTTATTACTGCAAAGCTTTCGATCCGTAAGCCCGGATCTTCATCAGTGCTAATAATATGTCATATATTATTAGCACTGATGAAGATCCGGGCTTACGGATCGAAAGCTTTGCAGTAATAAATTTATGTGGTGTTTCCACAAACAAAAACAATTATAATTTATATGTTTTTGTATTCACATTTATAGTTATAAAAAAGTCCTAAAAGTAAAAATGTTTTTTACTCGACATATACAAGGTTGCGTTAGTTTTTGCAACATGGCATGGTGGATGTCCAGGGGAGGGGGGGGGTCACTAATTCAGACAATGCCGGGCAAGGGGGGTCTGAAAATCCATCATTTGGCCGGACATCCTTTGTGAATGGTCCCTTATTAACCAATTGAGTAACATTTCACCCTACCTTATTATTTTACTCTGTCTGCCGGACGATTTTACTTGTCAAGGGGAGAGCGCTGTGCTTAATGGGTTAATTAACTAGCCTTATCTGCTCATGTGTCTACTAGTTAACCCATTGAATCGCATTGCGCCGTGATACACCCTAATTTATTATTTTACTCTGTCTAATGCCAGGCAATTTTACTTGTAAAAGGGAGAGCACTGGCACTTAATGGGTAAATAATTATTATTTTTCTATTTTGTAGTACTTCCAAAGTGTACCAGTTCAACAAGACACCCAGCCATTAATGCAGGAAAGCATCAGCTATCAAGTTACAACCTCTGACTCTGCAACCAAGAAACTTAGTGTACTGTAGACAGTATTCAAATATGACACTTTCAGGGGGAAACAAGAAGAGGCAATTGATGCAATCCTTTGTGGACGTAATTGTCTCGTTGTTCTTCTGGTGCTGGGAAAACGCTATGTTTTTCCATCCCAGCTCTCATTGCAGGTGGAGTGAGAATTGTCATTTCCCCATTATTATCACTGATCCTGAATCAAGTTGAACACTTCAGATCAAAGGGTCTGAATGTGTCCTATATAAACTCAGCAGTATCCATGGATGATAAAAATACCATTATGCATAGCATGGTATCTTACAAACCACCATACAATTTTGTGTTTATTACACTGGAGACTGCTGCAACTGAGGAGATGAGACATATTTTAGAGCAGATGAAAACAAAGGATATGTGGGGATATGTGGGGATTTGACTTCAGACCTGCATATGTTGAGCTGGGAGTACTTTCAGAGTTGAACCGTCCTATAGTTGCATTGACTGCCACATGTACATCCAGAACTGAAAAGGTAATAATTTCACCTCTTCAGTTAATCTAATCAGCATCAGGCAAACATGCAATAGAGAGAACATTTCCCTGTGTGTTCAATCCAAAAAGGAGATGGTAAAGATCAAGTTGTTAATGAAATTTTGGAAAATTACCAAAAAGTGTGTGGCATGGTATACTGCTTGCAAAGAACTGACACCACTGACATGGCATATTTGTTGCAAACGAAAGGAATCAGTGCTACCTATTACCACAGTGCACTTGATCCTTAGAAGAAAAAGGAAAACTTCCAAGCTTGGCTGGAGGGAAAGGCAGATGTAATGTGTACAACCATTGCATTTGGAATGGGCATTGATAACGACAATGTCCGGTTTGTTATCCATTTAAGTCTACCACAATCAATAGAAAGTTATGTGCTCAGAAATTTGGTCGTGCTGGCAGAGATGGAAAAGAATCAACTTCCTGCATATTCTTTCGATTTGAAGACCGCACCCAACACATGCAAGTGATATGTTCATTACCTGAAAGTGAGCATCGTGATTTAAAAAGAACATGTTTGAATGAAGTGGTCAAATTTTGTATTGTTCTAAATGCAGGAAACTCCAGCTTGTTGAATATTTCCCTGAGGAATGTGACCATCCATGTGGCAGTATGTGTGATGTATGCTTTAACACACAGACTTGGAACCACAGAATACAAACATTCAAGCACTAGAATTGTTTAATTGTCTTAACAGTATGAGAATTGTACAGAACAAGATTACTTGTAATCTCCTAATGGCAGTCTATCGTGGACCAAGATGAAAGGAAGTTCTCAGCAATTCTCTTCATGAAATACCAGAGTTTGGTTGTGGAAAGGCTGTATTTTCATATTACGCTCTTAAGCAGAAATACTCCGACAAGGTGAAGTCATTATCAAACGTTATAAGTGAATTAGCCTTTCTCACAATGATAACTATCCGCCATTTTGGGGTGACATCTAATTCTTGTTAACCAATGCAGACCGTTAAAACAATGTGAAAAGCTATTTTTCAAAATAAACTAACCATTTACAAAGCAAATCTATCATTGTGTACTTATCTCGCAGACATCAGCTGAAAGGCCACCCAAAAATGGCAGTGTGATAAAGGCTAATTGACATGTAATATGTTATTGCAAAGGGAACAATGTTTAGAGTAATAAAAAGCAAATTTATTGCAGGTTCACATACCCTTTTAGAAGTTATATACAAGTCTCTGGCAATGCAGCTTCACCTTTGTGATTGAAACTTTTGTACCAGATGCTCTTGATCATTACATGATCATTAAAATTAGAATATTAAAAAATAATTTAAAAGGCAACATTTCAATGATGAAGACGATGCTCTATAGCCCAAGCAAATTTCTTTCCATTGTTGGTACATTAAGATTTAAGATATAGGTAATGTACAATGTGTATATATAACAGAACACAATCCCAAGTTCAAATAAGATTAATGAGTGATTAACAAATTTGTTGTATATGTATACCTTTAGTTTAGATTTTGCCTATGTAAATTCACGATTCTATGGAACTAATAAAACAGAGTATTTTAATAGTACACAAAACAATCCAATCCAAGAAATTGTCAAGTTTTTTATTTTTGAAATTTCGACTGTACTATATATATATGAACCTTTTTCAAAATAAATGAGAAAAAAGTGCATTTAATTTAAAGATATTTTATATTTACTATGATTATTTATATTTGCATTCACCTTCGAGATGTCTGTGTGAATACATAGTCAAAACATCAAGAATGAAAATGTTGACAATTTGAGTGTTAATTGTTGTTTTGTGTTTTATTTTAATAAAGTAGCTTTACGGTTGAGTTCAATATACCTTAATTCTGATAATCATGCTAATCCGAGTAACTTTCGCAGCTTTCATCATCAGACACACCAACAGCTGGGTCTTCATTAATGATGCCATATATGTTGAATAGCTTTTGGTTGAAAGTGGCAACAACTTTCTTTTTCCCACTTTCATATGCATCAACATTGTTAGAGGAAACTGATCCATTCTTTGGGTCATCAAACTTCTCAACACTTTTCCTACCTGGCACACATTTCAGGAATTTGTTCCCAAGTATAAAATGTGCAGCTTTGACTTGGTCAGGCAAGGGATCTTGCTCTGTATGCTTAATAGTGGGATGCACATTAAAGGCATCATGACTTTTGAACAATATATGTATGTTTTCTGGAATGACTCATTCAGAAACAAGTTACAAATAATACTTACATGCTTTTCCAACATAAAGATAGTGCCATTGACTGAAGCATATCAATAAATTGTTTCCCAGCACCAAACAATGTACATGGAAGCCCAAATATAAGGGGGGAACAATTTCTGGTTTTTGAGTTCCTTATGTTGCTTATGATACCAAGTGTATGCAATCTGCATAGCATTTTGTGTGCATTAGTTTTCAGCAAATTTCTGCTTACTGGGTTGGAAATCACAGGGGTCTTCACCATCTCATAAATTAAAGGGCATTTTTCACAAACAGCTTCCACGATATCTTTAAAAAATGTTGCACCAGTTGTGCTAGAAGTATCATGGACAGAGGAGCCTCAAATATTTGTGTTACAAATGTCCTCCAACACTTTCATTTCCAATTTGACAGTGTTCTTTTGCTTGTCTGACAGAGCAGTTTTTGGAATATCGTGGCATAATTTTTCCATCTCTCTTTTGTATATGTTGATGAATGCATCAATATGGTGCTCATGTTTTTTTACTCCTTTGCATACTCAACTAGTTTCCCAGATATATTGCCACCATGCATCATTATATGTAAATAGGATATTTGCCCATACTTCATTGAGGACCAACCTGAGACTTCCAAGTTTGAAAGTAAATTTGCAATGTCATCTGATCTATATTATAAAAGTGTGTGCAAAATTACTTCTTAGTTGCTAATTGTTATTTTTAGATACATATCATTATAATTCCTATGTGGGTAAAACCAAACAGAGTTGTTGGCTTGATGCCTTGTACCAGTATAGTGCATGTATAATTGGAAATTAAACGAGACTTACCTGTAAGTCGAAGTTTGATTGTAATTCTATAAGTCATTAGCGAGGAGTGGAGGAGTTGTAGGAGAGACAGTACCGCGCATGAGTTAACCAGTATTTAGAGCATTAATATTGGTACAATGCCTGGAGTGGAGGAGGTAATCGGGCCTGGGTGTAATTTCACGGGTGGGCCTACAACTCCTCCACTCCTCGCTAATGACTTATAGAATTACAATCAAACTTCGACTTACAGGTAAGTCTCGTTTAATTTTCAATTCTATTACGTCATTAGCTATAGTCGTTACGTAGTTGTACGAGAATTTAGAGCTGGCATTGCACCAATATTATATCCGAAGAATAAACAGCAAGAAAGAGAAAACACAATGTACAGTATAAGGAAATATCACATAATAAAATGATTATACAAATAGACCATGCAATTGTTTAGGATAGTGTATTCATAATAGCACTACCAAAGTTAAATTCATTGTTATCTTTGAAATGGTAAAAACGTTTGAAAGTCTCTTCTTTTGACCATCCAGCTGCATTCAAGATATCTTTAAGGTCAAATTGTTGGGATGCTAAATGAGATGTTGATGCTGCTCTAGTACTATGACTCTTATATTGTGTAGTATCAACACCAGCAGTTGTCATGAAGTTTTTTATCCAGTGCGAGATTGTTTCCGTTGAGATGGGTTTGTAAGGTTTCACGAAACTAATAAGAAGTTGCTTGTTGTCACCACGAACGGGTGACGTTCGTTTTAAATATTCCTGTAAATATGTTAGGATACACAATTTTTTATCAGCAACATACGCCATAAAAACTAGTGGCTGTTGACGAACACCAGGCCTAGAATGTTTTAATTTATCTGCTATTAAAAAAGTGATTTTTGTCTCTTCCATTGTCATATTGTCTATTGATAGTTTACCGATTGTTTGGCATCTCTGTCCGCTGAGAAGGGCTAAGAGAAAAGCAACTCTTTGACTGAGGTCTTTCATGGATAATAATGATGGTGCTTGCTGACGTCTTAAATAATTGAAGACAGTATTGACATTCCATGTGGAGCAATACCTTGGCAGAGACGGTCGGGACTCATATACACCTTTCATAAAACGTTTAACGATGGGCAGTTGGCCGAAGGGAGTAGGATTGCTCTCCCAGGACAAAATTGAAGAAAGAACACTTCTAGCAGTATTAATAGAACTGTACGACAAACCAGATTTGAATAAGTCGGACAGAAATGACAATGCCTGAGGCAAAGGTGGTGAAATGATATCACAGTTGTTTTTCTGACAAAAATCAAACCATTTCTTTGCAGTTGACTGATATTGCGTCTTAGTTCCCTCTCGCCAAGAACTGAGAATAATGTCAATTGTATCGGTGGCGAAACGACATGACAAATAAGAATGTTCAAGTTCTTGTGGAGAGGATGTTTGTGGTCCCGGTCTGATGGTAAGACTAAGAGGTCGGCTTTGGGCAATAGACGATGTGGAGGCTTCACTAGAAATTGAAGTAGGAGGGGATACCAGCTCTGTGTTGGCCAGTCGGGGACCACAAGAATGCCCGTGGCTTTGTCTTGAATTATTTTCCTGAGTGCTCTCAGGATGCAACTGAAAGGAGGGAAACAATAAAATTTTTCATATGCCCAGGAAATAGTAAAGGCATCGATATGCTTAGCATATGGGTCTGGTTTATAGGATACGTATGTATCAAATTGTTTGTTTAATCGAGAGGCAAACAGATCAATATTAGGTGAAAAACATAGTTTGGATAGAGCTTCAGTCAAATATTTTTTATTAAGCATCCATTCAGTGTCAAGGTCTTTGTTTCTGGATTCTTTATTGGCAAGAATATTCAGTTTACCGGGAATGTATGCGGGGGTGAGCCAAATTCCATGCTTTTCACATAAGGCCCAAATCTCATGTGTCACCTCATTGCATTGCTCACTGTGATTTGTGCCTTTATTATTAATTACCGACACTGCCGTTGTGTTATCAATCATGATTTTTACATGCTTATTTCGTAAGTGGTTTATAAAACTTTTCAAAGTGAAAAACGCAGCGAGCAATTCCAAATAATTTATATGTTGTTGTGCTTCGACTGCAGTCCAAGACCCTCCCGTAGAACAGTTATCCAGCACACCTCCCCAACCCGTGAGAGATGCGTCTGAATTAGCACTGACATCTACGGGAGTGGGATGGATCAAGTTATAAGAATTTGGTAAATTCACTAACCACCAATTCAGTTCTTCAATTGAACAAGTTGACAATTGCATATATGTATCAAAGTTTCCCTTTGCTATTTTTAATGCCTCAATCTTATTTTGTTCAATGGCTCGATAGTGACATTCTCCGTATCGAACGGCTGGGAAACTGGAAACAAGTAACCCAATAATTTGGGCTACCTCCCGAATTGTGTACCTGTCTGAATTTAGTATACATGAAATACGAGACATTATTTTTGTGATTTTCTCATTAGTTAGCTTAATTTTCATGGTTGCGGAATTGAGCTCAAAACCCCAAAACACAATCTTCTGTTGAGGGAAAAACATTGACTTCTCAACATGAAGGACAAAGCCTAAGTTAGTGAGGAGATTGACAGCCTCGATAATTGATGTAATACAGCCCTCGTATGAGGTGGATATGATCAAAATATCATCAATAAATATTACAAGTATATGACCATTTTTTCATAAGGTACATAAGACTGGTTTAAGTAGTTTTGTAAACTTTCGTGGACATGTTGATAAACCATTTGGATAAACAGTATATTTGAAAAGTTTTCCTTTATAAAGGAATTTTAAGAACTTTTGATAGTCCTTATGTATACCAACAGTATAATACGCATCCTTGAGATCGAGGGATGCTAGCCAACATTCCTTTGTCATAAGTGATAAGGCGGTGTTAATGGAATCCATTTTAAAATGGTATGATTTGACATGTTCATTAAATTTTTTGAGATTTAAGATAAGTCGAACCTTATCATCTTTCTTGGGAACGGAAAAGATTGGCGAAATGAACTCGCCTGGTTCGTGGGAAGTTTTGACAATGACGTTTTTAGCCAAGAGTTTAGAAATCTCTTCGTCTATTTTAATTTCATGATCTTTTGAAATCGAGTTTGTTGGATAAATAGAACATGTTGGAGGGTCTCCGATAAACTCAATGACTTCACCTTTGACAGTCTGTAGTATACTTTTGTCAGAAGTCAAAGCTTCCCACTGTGAAATAAAATATTTAATTTGGCCGCCACAAAATAGATCAATCAGTCTTTTTAAATTTGGCAAGATTTTTGAGATGAAGTATGTCGGAAAACCAATTACCTGATTATTTATTGACGGAAATGACTCTTCTGTTGTTGGCTTCGGAACGGACGGAATGTTTGCTGGGGAGGAAATTGACCCCTCCCCCTTTTTGGTAAAAAATGTTGCCTTTTTTGGTTTGGATAAGGCATAAACCGTTGGCGAGGGAATGAATCACGCAGCAAGAATTTCTCATGCAATTTAGCCTCATTGACTGATTTGCTCAGATCGTCACCAAAAAGAAATTTCTCGGGTTTGTTCGATCGGTGACAAGCAGGCTTTAATTCGTTACTGAGTAATGGGCGTAGTGAATCCCGTCTTTTATAGGATAATTCCGTATTAACATGGCCCAAAAGCGCAATTGAATAAAAAAGACGTGAGGCAACAGTACGATAATCAGGCAATGTCTTGTTTTCTCTACATTTTAGTAGCTCGTCAACAGTAACAGAAAGTGTGCTTGATACTCGAACAATAGAGTCTTGTAAGACTGCTGTGCGTACGTCACGCTGTCGGTGAAAAGCTTTGAGGCTCGTCCAAATAGGTTCATTAACCTTTGGTACAAAAAGCTTTGGACAATTTTCAGGTGTTTTATATTTTTCAAATATCTCCTTACGTTTCTCTAGTCCGAGATCTGATGAAAACTTGTCGTTTACAATTTTTGCGATTTTTTCATGTATCGGTGGGCCTATAGAGTCTGACGGCCGTAACGATTCATCAATTTCATCTAAAAGGTCCTCATTATCGTCAAAATCATCGCCGCCAAGAATGCTTAATGTATCATCATTTACGACCCTCTGGCCAGATGGACTAGCTTCCTCTGAAGCTGGCGTATCAGTATTTGCTTCCTCTGAAGCTGCTGTGGTGTCCTCCTCTGGGACTGGCGTTTGCGATTCTTCTGAATCGACTGTCTTTGACGCGCGTTCAGCGCATAGTTCACTTAAAAATTGTGTGGTTTCTACCATACTTTTTTGTAGTTCGGAAAACATGTTGAATAACATTGCATTGTCTGGTGAGGGCGCTACCGCACCAGCATCTAAATTTTGTTCAGTGTCCGACATGCTATTACTACAGATAATACAAATATAAAGATAAAGAAAGTACAAAAGATAACGACTTAGCTCTTTTTATCCAGAAAAGATAGGCGTCGTCTTGAGAAGATGAATTCCAAGTTCCAACTGAACGATAAATTGCGGGTGCTTACTGGTTCACATGAACAGTACAACTGGTTAACTCATGCGCGGTACTGTCTCTCGTACAACTACGTAACGACTATAGCTAATGACGTAATGGAATTCCATATGTCATCTACGGGTATCAATGTTTTCACATTGAACATTAAAGACTGGTTGACAACATGAAATATTGAAATGAAAACATAAGGGGCCATTCACAAATTATGTGACACTGTTTTTGCCATTTTTTAGCCCTCTCTAACCCCTTGCAATAGTGTGTGACAGCTAGCAGTACACCCCCATAATAAAATCTCCCCTCTCCCAAAAAAAAAGCAACTCACAACACACAAATTTAATATGCAACAACAGATTCAGAACATCTATAAATCGGCTCTATGAAAACGTTTGTCATCTAAGGGCATATTTGCAATGTCTTGTTTTGTTATAGACCCCTAGGGATAAATTTTCCCCCATGCACCTATCCATCACATGATACTGCTTGCGATACCCCCTTGTTACACTTATGAGTATATTACCCCGTAGTCCTGATCAAACACCCCCTACCCCCATGAGCATCACATATTTTGTAAATGGCTTCTAACAAGCTTTAGCATCATGATTCTACATACCATTTGCTTCATATACTTCTTGATGCTCTTTAGAAAATCGGCGAGTACCGCACTTTATATGGCCAGAAATGAAGGACAGCCAGCGGCTTGACCAGTTGGCTCGGAATTTCAAAAATTCAAAATGGCGGTCAGGTTTTATAAGACTTGCGGCTAAAGACAGGATTCTAGTCCGGCTTCTGATTGGCTAATACTGACTTCAGAAATAGGCAGAAATCAGATCGTCGGTTCAATATCGGATAATATTCGGAGGTTTTCCGTTTGATAATCGGTCCAATATCGTGATCTACTCGGAACATTGTTTATTGTTTTGTAGAGATGACTTTTAATCTGGGCTTTCATACAAAATTTTATCGAAAATTGCCAAGACAGCTAACAAATTACTATAATTCTGGTTATTTAGTAGCGAAACATACAGGTATATAAATCTTGTTTATTTGTTGATATATTTATAAATTAAAATGACTAAAATAGACTGGTCTTTACAGGATTTGCGTTACAAATTAAAAGTCATGTGGTGATGTAGTACATCGGGCTATTACATTTAAAAACTGAACCCCCCTGTCGAGGACCTCTGCTCTTGGGGATTTTTACCCCTCTGGAATGCAAAAAAATCTGTGTAATTGACCCCTCTGGAAGAGACTTGAACCCCCTCTGGAAGTGCATTTTTGCTTTTTAACCCGTCTGGACAGAGCATTTCTCTTCCATTTTTCCCAATTACCCCTCTGAAAAAAATGACTAATTAGCCCCTTACAAAATGAGGTCCTCGACAGGGGGGTATGGATATTAAATGTAATAGCCCATGATATATATGTATGAAAAACAATAAGCAAACCTAAATTATAAACTTCAGCAATAATTGTTTAATTATATTTAATACCCAGCAGCCACTGGCCACTATTAAAAAAGGAGCTTCTGTAGTTCTGTATACTGCCAATACTGGCGGGATCACTACTCACTATAGCTACTACCAATAGAAAAAACAGGGAATGCACACCCCCAAGAAAATTCATCTATATTATTTATTATAAGCCATACATGGATGACATTTTGGGTTAGTGGTAACCAAGTATTTATTGTCAATTATAAACATGAAAAATAAACAAAATCTACTAAAGCATGTTCAAATAAACATGCAAACATTAACATGTTATGCTGTCTCAATATTTACAGCAATCAAAACACCATCAAGATGAACATTCAAGTGTTTTGTAAAATTATTACTTTATAATATTTAAATACACACTGCTTGAATGTTTTTAAGTTACCAATTTTTTGAGTGCAAAAGTATTATACGGCACTTAATAGCCTGGATTCAATGAAGTATAGGTCACCAGTCATTATTTATGAAAGGAGGCAGGGGAAAAATGAGTTACTTGAAGGGGGGGCTATTCAATTTTTACAATGAGGGGGGTCACAATGAAGGGGGGGGTCAAAATTGGTGGGGAGATTTATTTATTTAAGCCTGATTAACATTTGGTTGCAAATGTTTAACATTTGGTTGCAAATGTCATGGTCATATTTTAATACCTGCTTAATGGTTATGTGCCAATAAATTATCATTAAAGGATTAGTGTCAGGGTCATGCATTGCGGGCTTTTGTTATTGTTTACATTTTACTTAAATACAACAAATGGCGATAAAATAATGGCGGTTAATTTTTGATAAAAATCAGACAAAAAGAGCAAGGATTATAAAAGGATGGTTTAAATATATAACGGATTGTAAAAACTTTCCAGATCATCTAATCTATTCGTCCCGAAAAATGGCTGCCAGCAGGAGTTTGAGCCCGCAAATTCCTGGTGTGACACTAATCCTTTAAATATTCAAAAAACTGATTTCGTTATTTTTCATCGGCCTCTCAAAAAAGAAGTGTTGACACTGTAAGCCTTTAAATTAATGATAATGTGATAAAGCAGCAATCCTACATCAAATATCTTGGTATATCTACCTTGATTGTAGTCTGAGTTGGAATACTCAGATCCATCAAGTTGCTAAAAATATCAATGATATTTGTGGTGTTACTCTGAGTGTTACGTCTATGCTGCACCATTCTGAGTGAGTGTACTAACTTGACAATGGGAGGGGGGACTCAAAGAAAAAATTACAACTAAATGGGGGGTCACCATTGGATTCCTGTTCTTTTGAGGGGGGCTTTCAATTTTAAAAATTTAGGAACAAGCACAGCATCAATCAGCATGTATGCAATGCTCACAAATTCCTACACATTCTATTCAAAGGTTTACAAAAACATTTAGGTAAAGAGCAGGATTACATTTTCTTTGCACTGCCTGATATTTTACAGAGTAGCCCTGCCCCTGTTTATGTGTACTTTGTTTTCTTAACGCAGGTATTGCAACTCCAGCATTCAGATTCATCATCGCTGTCTTCGTCAATGTATCCAACACAAAGCCTGAAAATAAATTTCCTTAGTCTTTGCAATAACCTGGAACTCCGTCCTCTTTTTTTCTTTATTTACAGTACAAGGCACTTATGACAAGTTTAACTTATTAATCTGCAGAGCTTTCCCATTGACAAGTAAATTTATGGCGTTAGACAAAGAAAAAAGGAGAATGCACTGGGAGCATTGCGGCTCAATGGGTTAACTAGAGACATTGTCAGATTTTTTGGTTAACCCATTAAGCTGCAGAGCTTCCCCATTGAGAAGGAAAATCGTCTGGTGTTAGACAAGTAAAAAAAATAAGTAGGGCACACTGGGGCGCATTGTGGCTATGGTTAAGGAAAATAAAATTCATACTCAACTCTAACCTTTCCAATTTCCATACAATTATAAAAAAATTGCATTTAATTAATTCATTATTTAATTAATTAATTATTTAATGAATCAATTAATTAAATAATTAATTGATTAAATAATTGACTGTCACCACAATTTTAATATTTCTATATTCACTAAATGTGTGGATTTATACTCATCAATGAAACCAGTTGAAGCATGTATCACACTGTACCATGTTTGTGTGTTTGGCCTTAGAGCAAGCTTTTTGAAACTGCAATGAATAAGTACATTTTTAGAATAATTTTAATAGAATTTTTTAATAGAATTCGGGTAAAACTTCACAGTATCAGAAAATGAAACCCTAATTGCTAGTATTCTAAAACTTAAATGTACACTTGAGTACTGGTATGTAATATCAGAGGCATAGCAAGGATGTTTGGTCAGGGGGGGGAGGCAGCAAAAGCCTAGGCAAGGCCAGCTGGTTCCACTTATTTTTATAGAATAATTTTTATTGGGGGGGGGCGGCAAAATTTTACCAGGGGGAGGTGCCCGGCCCCCGCCACACCTCTGTGTAAAATGTACATTTAATGCAATTACGATATATTGTACCTGATTTTTTCACTGCAGACCAAGCTTTATTGCTGAAGTAATGTTTTACTACATCAATATTTGCATCCAATATCTCATCAGGTAAGTTGTGAAGTCTGAGGTCTGCCACCTCAAAAGGAATATAAGGATCTATCATCGGAGGGTTGCGTACCAGCATTGTTAAGATTTTGTGATCTCCTGCAAGGGAGTACAAGAGAACAATTACAGTATAAGCAGGTTTCACTAATTTCAAAATAATCCTCAGAGTTATGTAAAACCAATTTCATATGAAACTGACACAGTTTGCTAGGAGAATTGAATGTTTTGATCGTCAAGTGCAGTTTAAAACTTAATACAGTGGGTTCGAATATATCCATGCAGCCATATACTTATTACTTACTTAGTTCTCTATATTTTTCCATTATATCTTCTTTCTCCTCTCTAGATGGTCTGACGAAATGAACATTTCTCACTCCGTCACGTTTTCTCTTCGTCGAAACAAATCTTGGCTGCGTTTCCATATTTTTGTTGGCAGGAGCATTGTTGGTCGGTGAGAGGGACTGGGGTGAGGAACCATCCTCTTCTGTAGCAAGAAAAAGACTGTAAGAAGAATTTAACGTCTTCTCTAGTTGCAACATTTTAGCTGGATTGGCACTCTTCTCGACAGTGGCAAGCATATCAGCGATCCGACTTTTTACTCGCGCACGGATATTCTCGACATCAGCGACGTTTGGCATTTGAGTAAAACACGTTAGACGTTGGATTTCTTCGCTTTTGAAGTTATCAACGAGGTCATCTACAAAATCACAGCCTTCGCAATCTATGCTGTTGTCTTTGGCAAAAGACAGCGCTCGTTGGACAAGATGAATGTGCTTGCATATAGTATGAAGAATAAGCGAGTCTGGACAAGTACACACGAAGCAATGAATACATATGCCACATTCAATGCAGGAAAGATACATTTCGTTTCTGGACATTTATCTCATAAACGCTGAACTTCGTAGTCATTCGCATGTACGACTTTCTCCAGAGGTAAACCAAGGCTACGCCTATGCCGTTCTTGAATGGCCTTCACTCGATAGCTCGCCTTTCCCTTCATTAGTTGAATCATTCGGCCAAAACACTGATCACGTGCGAATTTCAGCAAATTCAGCAAACAAACATCCACGCGTTTATTGACTTTCCCCCCGAGATAGTTCCGTTTGAATACACGGTGGAATGCTTCGACGAACATATTGGTGTTGATTCCAAGCCCAAGCCTGTAACAAAACGCCCAATGTTCTTTATTTGGCAACCACTCCTGCTTGAAATAATCGTGGAAATCTTTCTTCTTTTTATCTGAAGATAGATCCAACAAAAGAGCATCGACACAATCTTGAAACAGACTTGTGTTTGTTTGTTCGACGACCATCCGAAGCATCTTGTATACTTCCGCTTCCACTGCTGTCTCTCCGATTTTTTTCTTTAATTCAGTTCGCCAAGCCTTATCCACGTGCCACGTGCATACAAGCTTCTTCGGCCGGGGCTCCCCCATAGATATTTCACAGCACACTCCCTATATCAGGGCTTTTCAGTGACTGGTTACATTATGAATAGATAGATAGGTTACATTATGAATAGATAGACAACCCATGCGTTGAAAAACTGAGGTGCCATATCGCTCATGAAAAACCCACTGTGTTGAACGCCGCAATTTTTTCGAATCATGCTGAAAAATAAGTGCATCACGGTGAAGTCCTCATGATTGGAGATACACCACCCCGCTGGAAATCCCTTCCCAAACTCGTCGGCAACAAGGATTGTTGGTAGAGAGAAGTCGTACGCGTTGGTTCCATGTGTGGTGTCACTACAAACGCCGTTGGAAGCAAATTTTTGGAACATATGCTTTTGTAGCGGGGTTTGCACAGCAATGAAAAAATCGTCGTTGGCTAGGTTTACCCCGTCTGGCGCCTCTTCACCTTGTAACTTGTAAAAAAGAATGGGGTTGGTTTCTTTGTTTTCCTCCCATTCTTTTATCCATGCCAGGACGCTTTGCTGATCGTTTCCGTGACGACGAATGTTGTCCAACCCATATGCTGTGGAAATGTTACACAAGTCCTTTTTGTCTACCAGATGTTGGCGATGCAAGTCATCTGCAACACCTTCACATATCTCATCACGCACACAATCTCTGCTGATCCCTTCTCTGATCTTTAGTGCAATCCCCCGCCTTTTGATCTTTGAAATTCGAATGTGTTGAAGTTTGTGTTTGTGTCCGTAGTGGGTGTAGCATACGTCAACGTCAACATGGCCGTCATTCGCTGTGGTAGCTGTCATTGTTAATCTTGCTTGATCCTAGTAAGAAAGAGGAGTATTGATATTTAGTACCTTTGCTGTCCGTATGGGCTTCTAAAGCTTCTTAAAGTGACGGACGGTAACCGTCTCCCCTGGCTCATTCGTTTGAAAATGGTCTACTGTCTGACAAAGACCACATCCTATACCTTGGCTTTTTAATCTTCTTTTTCCTGTTCCCTTTGTCATGTAATCTCCCCCACGGTTACAATTGAAGTATTCCACTTTCGATTCACCTAATCGTTTGGCCCCAGTGTTCTTGATAAACAAACAGTCTTCACTATCTTCTAAAGACTCCTTCCATGCTTGAAAATTCTGAAAAATTATAAAAACAGCCACCAATTACCAAATATGATTGTAAATGATTGGGATTTTAAAACACAAGTGTGTACCTCGATAATATAAATGGGATGTATATAGTCGAAAATAGGATGTATATATTACACACCTTGATAGTTTTGTAGCTTGATGTTTTCGGTTCTGAATATTACATTGTGCGCCTTCGACAGGTGTTCACGAAATTCGACAATCCTGCGACAGGAATAACCACATTGAGTGCATGCACACCGTCCGGCTGATCCAACGTCTGTGGAACCACCATTGACTTTGATTTGGTCTTCTTTATGTTTCCATCTGATGTGGCGATTCAGGTTCGATTTATCATTCTAGGTAAGGTCGCAATATTGACATTCCCATTTGTGGACACCTTTCTTTGTTTGAAGAGGTTTTGCAATTTTCGACGAATGACTTTTAAAACCATTCAAAAACGTGTTTCGTTTCTTTTAACATTTCTTCTCTTCTTTCTTTATTTCTATCTTTACTTTCTTCATTTCTTTCTTCTCTTCCTTTCTTTCTTCTTTCTTTTCTTCTTTCTTCTCGTCTTCATTATTTACATTTAATGATTTGGTGTCTGGTTGTAGTTTTATAGGAGTTTCCATATTGGCATCAAACTTGGGCAAGACATTCGACAGAAAAACGGATTGTGCTCCAAACCATGACATTAACACCAGGTGGAGGTACTTTGAGTATTTCGTAGGGTCACTGAGAAAAGTAAAACACTGTGGTACATGGTCCATTTTCTTGGTCAGCTGATGAAAGAAATCATTTGCAAGGCATGCGATAGCTGCCACAACCATAACAACAACACCGCATATGCTGCCACACCGTTGTGGCGGATAGTGAGGGGCACAAGATGAGAGACACCGGTGACCGTGTGGTCCCTTTGACGACGGATCATGAGCGTACACGAACGAGTACAGCGACACCTCCTCATGAATTTTCAGATTCTTTTCAAAAGATTAATGGGGCTCGGCCAAGCAAGTGAATCGCAGTAAGTAACTATGTGTGCGCTTGTGTCCACATGGCATGTTGTCCAATGGTTTCCTGGTTGTTGGTAACTCCCAAGGTACACATTACCATCTCCACTTTTGCTAACATTGAGGACAAAGAGAAAGTTTGTTGGCTTTTGTTTTAATGGCGCTATTGATGTCCCGCGTAAAATTCAAGTAGATACAAAATGTATCCTCTTGCATACTATTCATTTGCTGAGTAATCCAAGACATATGGTCGCCAGATAACCATTGGGTGCAACATAATCTGGATAACTCTTCAGCAGAGGCATTGTACCCAGAAAGCATTTTGTCGTATCGCTTCGAATAAATTAAGCTCTGGAAGTTTCTGATATCATTTTGGTCAGGCTGACTTACCACGTTGGTAGGACAGTTTGTCACATCTGCAAACCAATCTAGCTCTCGTGAGACTTCTTGCTTGATCTCCATGGCTTTATGAACTCAAAGAAGTTCATTTATCTTCTGGACATCATACTTTGTTTCGGTGTTCATTTGACACTGTACGTAGGCTGTGCTATCTGGGTGAATTTTTTTTAATTCCGCGATTTGTTTTTTCCACGATTGAAGGCATGATTGTGGGGGTATCTCACGTCCAACTTCTTCTCTTCCACAACAATCAATTGGATTCGTGTTTTTGGCCTGTTGAATTTGAGCTCCCTTTGGCCTCATAACATGTGGATACTGTATACGGAATGCCTGTAGCCTGGTGAGGTTTGCCAAGTCAATCTGACTTAATAAGACGCTATTTTGCTTCACGAATTGGATCTTCAGAAAACATAAACATAAGAAAAATATAAACTGTATAGTTGACTTTTGCTAGTATGTCTACTATATGTGTACCTTACTTTTCTTAATTATATCTTTATGTGGACATTTTTGTTGTTAAAGTTCGACGTAAATGTGTACTTATATGACTTTAATGTATTTACCTCTGCCATGATAATGCAAGATGTGGATATATA